AATATATAAATAATTGTAATATTCTACAACTTATTTAAGTAAGTAAATATGCCAATAGTAATCTTGTTTATAGTTAATTTGCCTGGTTGTTTAATATGTTGAGAAGGTAAATTATAACCTGGTCAGTCATTATCTGAATTATCACAATTTTTAAATTAATGTACTTTAAGTGTACTTGGCTATAATCTAAAGTCAGTACTTAAATTCTATTTGTTCTACCTAACTTTATTTTTTTTAATATTTAAGAAATTTTACTCCTAGTCTCTATGTCATACAAAATGAATAAATTTTACAATTATTTCATTGCATCCAAGGAATTCTATATTCCCAAGGCAAAAGAATGGAATACATACATAGTTCATTTTTAAACTAATGCAGTCCTAAGGACACTCATTTAATTCAATTTTACATTGACTATATGTTCTTATTGTTGAAATTTATGACCTAGTGACTTATGCGGCATAATACCAAATTCAAGTTGGTTGAAGTGATTGCCTAATTGAATAAATAATATGGGCATTACCTAAAGCATCACGACAACAGTATACTTTGATTTTACCCATAATTTAGATGCATGATTAGAGCATGATTTTAAGTCAAGAAAATTATTTTTAAAAAATATTTAATTAAAAATTTGAAAATATAGAGAAAATTAATGTTATTTCTCCACATTAATAATTATGCTTTATATTACATGCTTTATTATTCCCTAAACAATTATGCCACCTGAATTCAAATTTTCTGAATTATTTTGTAAAATATAAAGCAAACATAATGTTACACATTTGTTTTAACTCTTGCTAGCAGAAATCTTGTGTTCATTTGTCTTAGCATATTACAAGTTTAGTGGTTTATTTTAGAGACTATATAGTCCTGTTACCTGATACTAGTGTTAACCTCTATATAGGGAATAAAGTATTAAAATTATGTCTCTATGTATATTTCTGTATATTTAGGTTGCATTGAATGGTTTATTATTAACCTACTCAATTAACTTTTTAAAAATGTTCAGAGCTTGTATTATTTGTAATTAAAGTGAAATAGTCTCAGAAAAATAAACACTATTACTACTAATATTTTCCATTCTGTACCAGCCAATGATGAGTTGTATGCTCAAGTTATTTTACATTGCTTTACTTGTTACCTTGATAACATACCTTTATTGTATAGGCATTGTAAGCATGAGGATATGGCAGACCTGTAAACCCTGTCATATCCCATTTCCTGTGAATAAAAATTGCTCTGCTGTGTTCTGGCCTAGACTGCTTGCCATGATATCAATGGCAGCCTAACATTCTTGACCTTAAACATAATTGGCATTATATTGATGGGTTTTGTAAGATAGTATTGAGCAGTATTCAAAGGGCCACAGACTCCTAATCACAGCCACTTGCAACCAGGGTATGGTGCCTTGATTTTAGAATATTCTGGTAAGTGGATGGTAGCAGCTAGCATGAAATAATCCCCTGGGAATAAGGTACCTGATGGAATACTAAATAAAAATTTCCTTTGGCCAATAGTTTCTTTTTTTCTTGATTATTCTTTATCTATCTTTTCTCTTTAGAACTACTCTTTTCTATTTTCTCCATATTATCTTCTCTCCTTTTCCACTGTTGTATTTTTCTCCTTTGTAATCTCTTTTTTCCTCTCTCAAATTCATACTTTTTCTATCTTCCCATTTTTAAGGTCTGGCTCCTCCCCCAGTAGAGGTCTAGTCATCACGTATTCATTCTTTTATACATCATCCATCCATCCACTTGTTTCTAAGTGAGTATTTGTAACAAGTCTGCCCTATGTTAGACACTGTGCAATGACATCATAGAGGGAAGATGGATAATAACTATTTGCTTTTTAAATGCAAGTTTACTATGTGCCAGGTACTGTTCTAAGTGCTTTATAAATCTATATTAACAGACTTAATCTTTATAACAGTCCTAAGAATAGGTCCAATTTTTTAAAATTGTGACTAGTCACTTATTTCTTATTTATTTATTTATTTGTTTGTTTGTTTTGGGTTGCATTGGGTTTTCATTGCTGCACATGGGCTTTCTCTAGTTGTGGCGAACAGGGGCTACTCTTTGTTGTGGTGCACGGGTTTCTCATTGCGGTGGCTTCTCTTGCTGCAGAGCATGGGCTCTAGGCATGCGGGCTTCAGTAGTTGTGGCACGTGGGCTCAGTAGTTGTGGCACACAGGCTCTAGAGAGCAGGCTCAGTAGTTGTGGTGCAACTATAACTTAGGCTGAGCTGCCCTGCGGCCTGTGGGATCTTCCTGGACCAGGGCTCCAACCTATGTCCCCTGAAGTGGCAGGCAGACTCCTAACCACTGTGCCACCTGGGAAGTCATGAACAGGTCCAGTTTTTAATCCCCATTTTATTGATGAAGAAACCATAAGTTTTTCATGGTCACACAGTTAATAAATAACAGAGCTGGGATACATATTCAGGCTTTGGAGCTCTCAGATTTAACCACTGTTACTTTTCCTTTTGATCTTGAAGCCAGCAATTATGGTGTAATGTAGTTTGGCTGTGGTAGAGATGCAATTTGGGGGAAGGAGCCCCGTGACTGGGAGAGCTGGGAAAGGCTTAACAGAGGAAAGTAATTTTTGAATAGAACTCCTCTAAGTTACCAACTTCTAAATTCCTGTAAAATAAAACATTATCAGGTCTTGATAAAAATGACAAACACTGAGCCCATGATTGGGGGTGAGGGGATATTTGGTTGTTTTTGTCAACGTGTGTGCTAGAACACGGGGGTGCGTATTGCATGTACCAGGGCTTCTGGGTACTTGAATCAACAGACATGCGGCAGTTGATGATTAATACTTAATCCCAAGCTTTGGAAGAGCTGAAGTAAGGACCTCAGGGTCAAAATCAATAGGGCTTTCTTCATTTGCGTTGCTAGATCTTTATTTAAACTACACCAAATGAAATAGAAAATAATTTAGGTCTGGAATAATTCAGGTGTTGAAGTGATTTTGAGAATTCAGGTGAACTATGAATTTCACTTTTTAAACCCTCCAATTGCATAAAATAAATGAATCAGAATCATCAGATTAATCTGGCGTGTGGAACAGAAATGGTCCGAAAAAGAGCCTTATATCTAAATCTAGTTAATTAGTGATAAAATGCAAATAAAAGTAGAAATTCATGGTAACTTCTTTTCAAAATTATGCAGAAGAGAAAAAACTTTTACCTTTTTGGTCCATAATAAATACACAAGAAAAGATGTCATTAATGCATATCTTTGTTGTCAAAATGTCACTCCTCATATATTTGTTTGATTCTGGAAAATTGCCAGGAGAGAATATTTTTAATATTCATCACTGTTTTAATATTCATAGTTAAAATCTATTTCTCATTGTATGTATAGTTATACTATCACACTGTCATGGCTTAGAAGGACTGATTTGCCCAAATATTTATTAATTATGTCATTTTCCTGCCCTCTGAAAAAAATTTTTAGAAAAGGGATATATCATGAGAATGACATTTTTTAATGTTTCCTTGGCACATGATGCCAAATGTAGCTAATCTGGAGAAGAGCATCTTTTCACTTAATATTCATTCTAAAAATCTTCTTTGAAGTTTCTAGGTAATACAGTATTCCAAATACAGTCTGAGTACATGACCTATGACCATTGCATTACCAAGGAATTTTTAGCTCATTCTAAGGTAGTCTTCTCCATGCTTTTCTCCCACTTCCTTTTGCACAGATATTATTTGTAGACATTAGGCACAAAGTAAGTAATAAATTTGACAATTATAGTAATAATGTTACCTCCAAAATTATCAGAAGACAGATAATTTGATGAATATTTGCCTTTTAGGCAAGAGTAAATGTAAACTAGTTTGCTTTTATGCTTTTCTGTTTTTTCATTAATTTCTGAAATTTCCAAATTTGTTGAACAGTCGCTTTTGAGAGGAAAATAGACCAAAATCTTGTTTTTACATTCCAGGCTTTCTTCTCCAACAATATTTGTTGTTCCTTTTGAATGTACCATGTACACTGGATGTACCAGATATTTGAAACAAATGTATTGTTCACATTTAGAGGGAAATAAAGAGAAGTTCTAAAATATGAAGTTAGAGAGCAGATATTATGAGAAATAGGAAAATCTCAATAGGGTGATGATCTGGACCCTAAATTAGAAAGCAATATGCTACCTTTTGGCTTATTAAGGAATCTAGACATGATTTATATAGTACAAGACATCAGCAATGTCACACCAAGGAGAGGGAAGAAGGGTATCTTTTATTACTAATTGGAAACTTTATTGTCAACTAATTCTTAGATTATTTATAATTACATATGAAACAATGTGTTTCCACACGCTTCATTGAACTGCTAAGGAATGGGAATGGCAAACTCTCTTTGGAAATGTGGAATGCAAATAAAGTCACCATATATAGAGACCACATAATGGTGGTGTGCCATTGTGAGAAATGATCAACAGTGGACAAGATTGCTAGTAAATCTCTTGCAAAATCCTATTATAAAATGGAATCACAAAGAGATGGCATCTCTTCCCTTTCTCCCTGACTTCTTATCCTCAATCTCTTCCGACTTCTTAAATACACTTCTCATGCATACATTTTAGAAGCACCAGTTTTATATCAGTTTTAAAAGCACCAGATTGTATAAATGGGACACTTCCATTTTAATACATTGTAGAAACATACAGGGTTGTGGCTTTGATATTTTTATTGCTCGGATAGTAATGCTATTCTTTAAATAGCAGTAACAAAGTTCTGTTTTCCGTAGCGTTTTTTTCACTCTAATTTTACCATACCATCGTGTAGGTGAACTTGCTGTGGAAAAGATCTGAATGAATCATCATGCTTTGACCCAAAGAAAAAAACTTACCACTTCATGTTTCATCCTAACATTGACCTTACCTTGGGTAATCGTTTGTTATATCATAGTAGGAAAACTAGGTGTTCTCATGCTTTTTTTAAATAATTAACCTCTGTATTTCAATAAGGATTTGTTTCTTTCCTAGGGCCGGTGCATAAACTTCTCTCGAGTTCCCTCTCAGTAAAAGGAAAGCAGGGAGACCAAGAGGTATGAAGATGGTACATCTTCACGATGCAGATTTCCAACCAAAAGAAAACAAAGTGCATTTCAGAAGTTTTTGGAAGAGCAGCTTTATTCCTCTCAGTCAGGAAATGTTTTCTCTGCCTTCTGCTTTGCTTGCATCAAACATTTTCAAACTCTTGTTCTGCCATCTACATGGGAATTGATGAAACTCAATGGTAACACATGATTCAGGACATTAAAAATAAAAAGGAACTTTAATGTACATGCTGTGGTTTATACAAGAAAGTTTTTTTGAATGTGTAAAAGAGGAAGAAGCAAAAGCATGAAGATGATATCAAAATAGGGAGCACAAAACAATTGGCCCTGGTGAATCTTTAATGGAGAAAGGAGCATTTTTACATGGAAACATGGCGCATGTGTGTTTACATGGCAAGATTCTTAGCCAAAGGCAGAGTATGAAATCTCCCACCAGGCTAAGCAAATAAAGGAATCTATTGCCTTATAGCTGTGTCAGATCACAAAATCCTTCCAAGTCCACTACCACGATGTGCCTTCCGGGAAGCTTCTGACTGGAAAATCTTGTCATTCTAACACTGAAAAGTGCACACGTATGACAAAATGTAGACAGGATGCCTCAAGGTATCAGTAGCAAGCAAGATTTTGCCCTTTAGTTTTTGAAGGCACCTTTCTTTCATTATCACTTGGGAAAAGAAGAAAATTAATAGAGCATTATTCCACAGGAAGACGGCCTCTAACTAGAGATCTTCAGTGGAGCTTAATGGACTCATGATTTGAGAACTTGTCCCTGGGATTGGTAGATTTACCCCTCTTTCTATGTTTAGGGCTTAGGAGTACATAAAGCAGTAATATCTGTAAACATACCTAGGAGTTTGTTTTGCTTTTAATTGAAAGGAAGCAGTAACCACAAAGCTTCCGCTCAGGGTATTTTCTTCCTCCAAGTCTCCAAGGGCTCTTCAGCGTCACAAGCCAGCAACTCTCTTTGCATGAAAATTTCAAAATTTAATTAATATAATTAAAGGCAACAGCAAGCAGCAGCCTGTGAAGATTTTGCTCATCCTTTTTATGCCTTTTGACATTGAATGACCTATTACTGTATGCGCATTACTTGGATTTTGAGGGGCACTCTACCTTGGTTGTGATTCAGTAGAGAGAAAAAAAAGGCCTCCTCTCAAGTTATAAATTAAATTTTCAGGAGGGTCTACCACCACAAAACATCGAAAACGTACGTATTATAATTTTTTTAGAAAAACCACCGTGTCACGTCAACGATGCCAAATTATGTTAGCGTGAGTGGAAACACTGTGGGGGAGGAAGAAGGCAGCAGCTAATGAAAAAAGCTCAAATGATCTAGTCACTTTCGATACTGTACTTCAGATGCGAAATGGATATTCGACTGGAAACCTGACAAAGCGCGCCTGCTTTGATGTGAACTGGTATAGACAATGACCAGTGGCTGGGTCAGTGGGATGTCTCTCTGCGAGCACAAAGGCTTATCAAATGACACTAAAAATAAGTTCAACAACCATCACATTGGAAGGGAGAAGGCGAACATTTCATGTTTGGCGGGCATGTGAGTGCACAAGATGGGAAACAGTGATTCGGAGCATCCCAGCATAATTACCCCCATTGCGCGCTTAATGGAAATTTCAAAGGATGGGAGTGATTCTGACGGTTGGTGTCCAGATTTGTTGCACTGCTCCAATAAGCCTTGCTCACACACACAAATTTTTATACATAGATATATATATACATATATATCCTCTAGCTTGAATCTTTTGCTCAAGTTTATTTATGTCACTGGCTGGCTGGATCCAAAGTCATGTGTCTACATATTCATAAATAAAATTTTACCTGTGCCTCGGCTACCATTTTTCTTTAAGCCCACATGAACTCAAGCCTTGTTTGGTTGAATATTTAATTGTCTTGATTAGTTTCAGGGACAGAATTGTATCCAGTTCCAAAATGTCCATTATGTTCACAAATGGTAGTGTTGGTACTAATTATCCATGTTTGCAAGTGTGACTTGGAAACCAGATATATACCCATTGAGTTCTTGTAGACCATTGTTCTACATTTGCATCTGGGGCAGGGCCTACTGTGATTTTCTTAAATTGGCACTTCATTTCTAACCAGTGCACACCCCGAATTTAAGAGCCTCAAGGGTACTACAGAAGCTAAGGCTGCTTCTTTGGTAGTTCCTTTGAATTTGTCTAGTATCATGGCAATTGTATGATACTTTTATCTTGTACATGAGCAGTGTAAGTAGACCTTTGCCCTTAAATGGCAAAATAGCTTTCAGTAGATTGTAATGAAAATGGATTTCCAGTTCTAACACCACTATGAAGAACTCTCAGTGAAGAGGGACAGGCAATGGTCTATGTAGAGACTAAAAAAGTATCATTCATAAAGTTCAAAGATAGATGGAATTTTATTGCACTTAAATATATGAACAAGATCTAGGTTATGATTTTCTCTGATTATGCTAACTAGCAAATTGAGAAGAATTTGCTTTAAAGAGTACTGTATTCTCACCAAAGGACTAAATTGAACACCCCTACACTTTTCAACCAGGAAAATGAAAGGTTAAAATAAAGCCATTTCTATAAGTTTAGTAACGTTTTATATTTTATATAGAGAAACAGTTCCTGTTTAATTTTTTGGACATAATGTCAGTCAAGATCTACTTTCTGTGAGTAAATTAGTTAAGTCTTTATCCATAATCCATTTGTGTTGCATAAGGTTGCAAAAACAATTAAGTGGGAAATGACTCCTAACTTATGTGTCTACTCTGCCTGGAAAGAAAGTTTTGAAGGCATCTATATATATTTCATAACAATGTCTGTTCTTTATGGATTTGATCCATAAATATTTATCTATCTGAAAACTTTGATACTTGGAATGTTTTCCTTAAAGCATTTGGTGCTCCAAGAAAAAACATTTGGTGCTAAGAGTTGCAGCACTGATGCCTTTCCCCAAGTTAATTCTATTTTAAATTTTTATATTTCCTTCCCAATGAGATGCAGAGTAAAATTTGAGACCCTCCATTAAGTAGGGAGCAGCATCTGTCATCCATGGATAATTACTCTTTTGGCAAAAATATATAAGGTTTAAACCTCCTACATTTTAAATTGTTAGAAAAAAAATGATTTGCTTATATTTTTCCTGAATTTTATTCTAACCACTTTAAATCATAAATTATTCAGTATTTGTTTTTCTAATAAATCCTTACTGGATACAAGATCTGGGTGTCTCTGTGAACTTAACTTTATTATATAAATATCACTGACCATTGTTTACTGCTCAGAGGCAATTTATTAGGTTATTTTTAAAATTAAAACAGCCTATATTATGGCCAAGAAGGTGTCTAAAATATTTTTTTGATTGATCTGCTTACATATATTGTTTTTCAATCTTAAGAGGGCGAAATATAAATGGGTAACATTTATGAATATTGTAAACATTGTAACTTCCTCTTCTATCACAAAGCCTTGTGGTTACTAGATTTTGTACAGTATCACACTTTAGGAAGTTCATTAGTATTTTATTGCTACTGGAAAATTTCGGTGGGTATATGTGCACAGGAGAGAAATATATACATTATTTTAATATGAAAGGAAATACATATTCTAGAAGCAGAAAATAACTCTGGTACACCTGTTGTATGTTTAAGGGAAGAAACAAGCAGGTGAGGCTGAAAAATGTTGTCTATCTGCAGGTGATGAAGTGGGTGCAGCCATGTACTCTAGTCTCAGAGTTAAATTAATATTTCACTTAGTGAATTTCTATGGCTTATTTCTGAGAACACTTCAATTTGGGTATATTTCTACACTTATTTGTATCTAATTCAGTCAATTTGATAAAAGAAAGAAAAACATGTTTTCTTTCTCATAATGTAGCAATCCCTGTGCTGGATCTTTTATGCACTTTAATTTTGGGCTCTTCTGCCAAAGGAAAATGCTGATAAGTACAACATGCAAATTTATATTAAAATGTGCTTGTTCAGATTGCTTTGCAGGAACTATATTAAGGTAAAGTGTGTGTGTGTGTGAGAGAGTGTGAGAAAGGGAAAGAGGGAGACATGGAGAGATTGAGAGAGACATGGAGATTGACTCAGAGTAATGTGCTACCAATTCTCTTGGCTGAAGAATCAGATGATGGAGGGACTAGACCTAGACCTAGCCACAGCTAGCTTGATTATTAAAAGAAACACCAGGAAATTAAAAGTAGCTTGTACTCTATTTGCTTAGGTACTTGAGTAACTGGAAAAATAAACTGCCTTTCCACTCCTACTCTTTGTAGTGAACTACAGAGCATGACAGCCTTTGTCTAAGAATGTAACTCGACCAGGAAGGGTCTTGCAAGTCATACATTCAAAGCTTCAGCTGAGTTCCTCCAGGGAAGTGAATCTCAGATCTGAGTTTTGCCATAGAGGCTGGACAAAACTGAATTTCTCTGCATAAAACAAATCTTGGAGGGATTCTCCACTCACCCCACCCACCCGAAATTGAAGGGAAGTAAAATGGAGAAAAAAGACCAGAGAGAGGAGGGCTGAGCAACATTATAGGAGGTAAGAGCGTCAATTTAGAAAATGACAGAGGAAGTTCTGTGTCTTTAAGAATGGAGATGCCTGCTATTCCATTTTCAATGGCATTGCATTCCTGCAATGTACACCCTTCCATCTCAAAATTTCAGTTGTCTGCTAACTCACATTTTCTGTCACTTAAGGAAGTTGGCTGAATTCAAAAAGAGCAAGATGATCCCTCAAATTAATATAAAAAATAAGCCTCTGAAAATTTGCAGAGATATTGAAGATTGGTTGTTCCAAAACTGATGAATGGATTCGAGGTAATAGTATATAGATCTTAAAGAGCAAGCTTTCCTCATCTGTTCACTGTTTTTTTCACAGAATAAAAAAATATTTTGAAAGAAAGGAGAGTGATTTTAACATCAATAAAACTAACATCTACTTCAAATATTGTTCAAGTAGTAACCTTGAACAAGACATCAATAAAACTGATAAACTCTAAAATGTTAGAAATAAAAGGGATCAGATTCTCTAGCTAGATTTCCCCTCAAATACAACATCATGTACCAATAGGTCTTGAGTTTTTAGGAAAAATTATGAAATTCTATACATTAACTAGGAATTGTGTTCATGTTGCTCATATTTTTTGTTACTTTATGTATCTATGCCCATACATGCACACACACACAATCCTTTCTAGGGAAAAATGCTAAAAGTGACTCACAATATGAACTTTTATGTGCTTCACAATCCTAAAGATATCCTTGATTATTCATGTGACACAATATGACATCTGAAAATGATTTCTCAGCATGTTTATAGATAACCAGGCAAATTACCTGAAAATATTAATAACTTGCACTTATATGTCATTTTATAATTTTCCAAAGTACTTCAACACGTGTTATTCATTGTTTTTATTTAATAAACATACTGGCTGCACGCTATATATTCAGCTCTAATTTGACCAAAACCTAGGCAAATTTAAGTGTGAAATTGAGGTGTAAGGGAATGGATGGAAGACAGAAGAGATGGCCTTCTCAGGATGCTCAGTAAAAAAAAAGTCTTACAGCATGAATCCTGAGTGGCCCATTGGAAAATAAACCCTGATCACATAAAATGAGATTTAATGCTAAATGAGGCCTGTTTCATATGGGCAACCCTAGATAAACTCTGTACCACTGAGAGTATCTCATTTTGCTGCCACACTATTTCCCGTGTATGTTTAACAGCCTTCTTGAGGGAACAGAATACTTTTAAATCATTCTATTTGTTGCAAAACACTACTTTAGTCTAATCACAGATAAGTTAAGCCACATAAAAATGTAATATCCTCTAAGTGTAAACAAAACAAAACAAAATAACAAAAATGATGAGGTTAAGATTGAGATGTTTCCTAGGAAAAAAAAAGGAGGTTTCTGTAGGAGATTGTTTTCAGGGCCAGCTGAAGGACATTATGATAGAGATCATTGCTTTAACATAATTTCAGAGGCAGTTAATGCTGAACAAGAAAGGAAAGAAAACCCAAGACAGTGAAAGGATAACTAATTCAGTCTTAGTTTTAATTTCCAAGGATAAAGTGACCCTTAACAGTGGACAACTGAACGACTAGGTTTATATTTTGCTTTTCTACTTTGTGATAATGAAACTGTTCCAGGTGTTTATTCTATTTTGACATCTGTGTTTCCTCCCCATTTTACCCACTGACCTACACAAAGCAGGTGAAGAACGGTGCTGTTTAGGGTAAAGGCGGGCCCTGCAAACCTTCAACCACACCCAGCACCCAGATTTTCTGAAAGCCCCTGGAGAACGGCAGAAATGACATGTCTGGGGTGGAGTCCTGGGGGTGGAGGAAGTTAGTTGTGCTCAGTAGTCCGAAATGTAAAGACTCCCCCCTCCCAAACCCTTGCCAGATGAGTGCAAACCATGCCTAAGCTTAGAGAGTTCGTTCTGTTGCCAAGAGAAAGGAGCCAAGAGCCGACCAAGAAAGTCAGAACTCCTGCAGCAGTTGTACCAGGGATGAAAAACAATGGTAAGAACAAAGCTAGAGAAAGGAAATTGCACATTCATTAGCTTAATTAATGAAGATTGGCAGGTGCCTACCTTGTGCCATTCTCTGTACTGGGCAATAGGATACTGCAGCAGGAAGGACAAGTTGGTCTCAGCAATCTTACTGGCAAGTGGAGCCAGACCCTGAACAAGAAGATGCGAGACCAGGAGTCGCGTAAAGGAGAAACACAAAGTGCTATAAGAGCTTGTAATGGGAAGGGACTAACCTAGGCTGAATCATTAGGGAAAGCAGTGAAGTTTTTGCTGAGACTGGGAGGATGA